TATCCACGACAAAATGAATCAAATATCATTCGTTCTTCAATCAAACATGAAAGAGTCACTCAAAATGATTAAATTATTTAAAGAAGAAGGTAAAACCATAACAGCATGGGACGTACTATTAAATCAATTGTCTTCATTAACCGTTAAGGGTGTTTGCTTTAAATCTGATTCTCCAGATGTTTTCTCAACGTTTCAAGGTTATAAATACATCGTTCTCGAAAAAGTAGATTACTCAAAAATTGAGATGTTTATGGATTTCATTAAAGAAGCCATTTGTGATAATAATGATGAAGTGTATAAATACCTTCTCGGCTGGATTGCATCAATGATTCAACATCCTGGAATCAAGAATGAAACAGCAATTATTTTGAAAGGACTTCAGGGAACAGGTAAAAACAGATTTACAGACATTATTTCTGAACTCCTCGCCGGTTATTCATGTAAAAACATTACTGAAATAAGTGAGCTAACGGGTAATTTCAATTCAGTTGTTGAAAATAAAATGTTTCTTGTACTTAATGAACTCAAGAATGTTGGTGAAGACAGACTCGCAAACTTCAACGCTTTGAAATCAATTATAACGGATAATGAGATTAGAATTAATGAAAAGAATCAACCTAGAAGAACTGCTCAGAACGTTGCAAACTTCATTTTCGTAACTAATAACGTTTACCCTGTCAAAATTGAAGTTGGAGACAGAAGATACGTAGTTTTAAGAGTTAATGGTAAATTTAAGGGTCAATTTGATTACTTCAAGAATTTAATGGATTCATGCACTAAGGAATTTTATGATAACCTTTTAACATATTTTATGCAATATGACCTTTCATCATTTAATGTACGAATCATACCGATGACTGAAGCCAAACAAGATTTAATCGAGTTATCAACAAATCCTTTAGATGAATGGATAAATACACATTATGATGAATTGAGTGCAGGTATGACATGTAAAAATGCGCTATTCTGCAAACCATCAGACATGAAAGACAAGAATTTCCAAATGAGCATTAAGGATAAATGTGATAAGAAACAGGTAAGAATAGATGGTAAACAAACATGGTGTTATGTTTTGAAAGAAGAAATGAAAGGATTATATAAACAGGTTGAACCAAACGATAATGAGGATTCATTTACTGACGATGAAATACCTGTAAATGAAGCTTTATAAAGTATGATTGGAATTTATTTTTGCATTAATCCTGCTGTGTTGTCAAAATGTCATGTTGTCTCATTTTTTCAGAGAAGTTAATTAACCGAGTGACACATGGTGACGTAGTGACACCTTCAGTTATTCAAAAATAATTCATAAATGCCTTCCTCATTAATCCTGCTGTGTTGTCAAAATGTCATGTTGTCTCATTTTTTCAGAGAAGTTAATTAACCGAGTGACACATGGTGACGTAGTGACACCTTCAGTTATTCAAAAATAATTAATTATTGAATAACCTGAAACCATTAATGAAAACATTATTTTTGGGTCATTTACACTCATTACGATGAAGTCATGACAAATCATTTCCGGGACTGTTGTCAAAATGTCATGTTGTAACAAACTTTAGAACGGCATAATTTAAATTTTTATTTTTATCATAAATGGATACCCCACAAGCTCAAAATTTACCACGAATCATAACAAGGGAAGAAACGATAAAAATGATGCGAGAACTTGCTAAAAATAACAAACCACTAAAACTGAGAAAATGTGGTTATGCAGTAATGATGGAAAGAGAGATGTTGTCAAAGAAAAATAAAAATTAAATTTGGATAGAGTTTAAAAATTCATCTTTATTAAATTCATCTCTTCCAATCAATTTATTTATTCTATTAAATTCTTTTATTTTTGCTTCACTCAGTTTAAGGATTGAACGGTAAGTTTCTAATTTTTCGATTATTTCTTTCCTCTCTTTATCGTTTTCAACCCCACCGCATTGCGGCTTCTTTTTGTAATAGCATATTTTTGATTTAATTCTGTTTAGTTTCTTTTTATATTCATCGTCTGGACTCTTGACTGCTTTGTTGTCACTCATTTCTTACGAAATAAAAAAAATTAAATATTATTTAAATATAGGGTGTCCAAAGGTGCGTTTAGCACAGCGCTCTATATGAGACTATTAAAGGAGATATATGCTGATTATAAATATATAATAAAAAATATGAATATATGTATATGATGAGTAAGTTGTATTTTGGCGCCATGCCGGGATATAAAATGAATTTTGAGACAAGAGGCGGTTTCGCGGGAAATTTTGGCGGGATTTTTTTCATTTTTTTAATGAATCATAAAGAAAACATCCTCGCTCTTGCAAAAAAATGCAAAGACTGTAAAAAAATCTACGAGACATTGGTAAAATGCTTCGGTATGGATGCTCCTAGCTATTCCACTGTAACGTATCATGTTAGGATGTATCACTTCATGAACAAAAAGGCGCCCATCATAAAAATTGACAAAAAATCGCCGGATCAAAGAAAAATCAAAGCAATTCTTCAAGCGCTAGATGAAGACCCAAGAGCATCACTCAGAAGGATAGAGGAGATGACAAAGATACCACGTACAACAGTCAGTTATTATCTGCACAATTATTTGAACTACAAACTAGCGTATACACGTTGGGTTCCGCACAACCTTAATTCAGTTCAAAAAAAATCTAGAGTCCAATCTTCGAAAGAGCTCCTCTCTATATTGGGTGCGTATCAATCCAAGAAGTTTCGCTTTTTAGTAACAGGGGACGAGTCTTGGTTTCAATATGCAACAGAAGCCAAAATCATGTGGATCCCGAAGGATGAAAATCCGCAAACATTCCCGAAGAAAAAAATTGACACACCAATGATGATGTTGTCGGTTTTTTGGGGCGTGAATGGCATCATCGCAATTGATATTCTTCAAAAACCTAATACGATGAATGCTCAGTATCTAATTGACAATGTTCTTATTCAAATTATCAATTCTGATGAGTTTGAGAAATCCAAACAACAAAAACAAAAGTTTGCAATTCATTTTGATAATTCAAGAGTTCACAAAAGTCATAAGGTAATGAATTACTTGGTGGAAAACAATGTCAAAGTTGTTCCAAACCCAATTTATTCACCTGATATTGCACCCTCTGACTTTTATTTATTCGGCACGCTAAAAAAGAGAGCTGAAGGACGCGAATTCTCGAGTCCAGATGATCTTGAAAATTTTGTAAGAGAGCAATTTGAGCAATTTTCTCATGATGATTTAAAGCGTGTCTTTCAAGCCTGGATCGATCGCTGCGAACGCGTGATTGAATCCAATGGTGATTATATTTAAATAAACTTTATATATATGTAACTTGTTTATTTCTATTCGCAGTATTCAGGTTTGTGCTAAACACACCTTTGGACACCCTATATAATGGAGTAATAAAATAAATCGGAATTTCTATTAATTTATTGTCAACTTCAACTAATGCATTGCCGTTAATATATCTAACAAATTCAGCTATTGTGTCAAATCTTCGTCTTCTTTTTGTCATTGATTTATCAGTTTTTCCATAATCGAGATGAATTAAAACTTTATTTCCTTGTTTAAAATTCATGAGCCCCGAATTAATTTGTTCACGTTTAACATCATTTAACTTTTCCATTTGCTTTCTAATATATTCCCATTCTTTTGAAATATCATTTTTCATTTCCACCGGTTTCATGTTTATAGTTCTATGCCATGTATTATTGTAATAATATACTAACTGCTGTATGGTGGAGTCATGATTTCCATCCCAGTATATCTGACCGTTAACCCCTAACGCATCTCTAAGAGTTCTCATTACCGCATCAACTATTTTATTATGAAACGTATATGGAGAGGATGAGAAGAAAAAATTAATTTGTGGGAAATAATGAGTCATAGCTGCCTGAAATCCTTTATCACCATCACCCCTGATATTATCTACTCTTTCATGATCTAGTAAGTATTGAATAGCTCTTCTTGTTTCCTGTTCTGTTTTCCCTTTCACCGGAATGCAATATAAATATCTAGTGTTAATGTTAATGGCAAATAAATAAGTAACGTTTCCTTTTGAATATTCCAGAAGATCGATTTCGTATGAATATGGATATGGTGCAAATGAAGGGCGACTAAATTTTTCCTTTAACGGTTGAATTTTCGGGTCAATTGGTTTATTTAATATCTTAAAATCCTTTTTAAAATCTTTTTGCTTCTTTAATGTTTGAAATGGATATAATAAAGTGAATGATGAAGGATTAACTGAAGGAGGAGGAGGTACTGTCGTTGGAGGTTTTGGTGTTGCAAGTGGTTTAATTTTATCTGCTTTGATTTTGGATTTCATTCCTTCCTTCATTAATTCTGGATGTATTCTATTCATTTGTTTTAAATATGCTGTATATAAAGGTTTGATATACTTTCCCGCTTCGAGTTTATGTTGAAGGATGAATTCCAAAAGTTGATCTTCATTTAAAAGTCGGGCTGAATATGGTTTAACTAATGAATCATAAATTAAAGCTTGTGCATCATTTATGGTCTGAAGGACCTGGGCGTTTTGTTCCTTTAGCTGTTGAACATTTGCTACTTTAGACCTCGGCTTTGGTTTTTGTGGCTCAGGATTATATAATTTATATAATTCATCAATATCTTCTTCTGTTAATACTTTATTTTTGAAATCTTTCAACTGTTTAAGCTGTGATTTAGTTTTTCCCTTTGAATATTCATTATTTTTAATTTTGTCTTTAATTTCAGAAATTATTTTATTATGATATATCAAAATTTCATTTTTATAATATGGATAATAATAATCCATATCATCACCCGTTATATTATTATTATATTTTTGGAGATATGATTTTAATTCATAATAACTAAGAAATTTTTGATTAAGTACTAAATCAGCAATTAAATTTTTTAAATCTGTGTTATCCATTTATATAAAAATAAAATCAATGTTTTAAGGGTGCCCACCTCTTTGAATCATAGTATCAAAACCATCATTAACGGTTCCTTTTGTCTCTTCTGTGGTATTTTATTAAATAAATGGCATACAACATCCATTTTCACAACATACAGCCTTAGTGTGTGCTCCTGTTAATGCAGTCTTACCAATTGTTAAGCGAGTCATTGACCCATTTTTAAGTTGTAAATTAATATTCTGACCATCAAATATCAATTTATCATTTATTATATCCAAATAATTTTTAGGTGTTAATTGTTTATTTTGTCGTAAACTAACACCTTTCATTTTTTGTGCAATCTTTTTAAAATCACTTCCATCAATTGAACCGTTGAATGATGTATAACACTTAGGACATAAAGCAACCATGTTATCACCTTGTTTCTCAATTGCTAAACCCAATAACTTCTTCTCATGTGCTTTTTCTTCAGCTTTATTCTTTAATTTAGGTTTAAATTTCTCATCAAAACAGAAGAAATCAAATGGTGCGAATTTGAAAATGTTTTTATCATAAAATTGTTTATCAGTAACAATTGCTTGAAATGCTTGAGTGTTAGGAAGATTTGGGTCGCCAGCGATTGCCCAATAAGATGAATCAGTATCACCTTCAATGAAATGAAAACGATTAACATTCATGCATTTATACATAAAATCATAAATGAAAACCAAATACCAGTATTTAGCATTATCTAAAGTGAAGAATGCCTCTTGTAAACATGTATCACATCTATAAAATCTATCTTTAAGCATCACTTGATACGTATCCTCTCCTATTTCTCTTATGTTTTTAAACTTATTTGACATACATGCAACGCGTGCCTTCTGTGCATTCATTATTTTAGTCTTTGTGTAATTTTGTGTATTCATTGCATCGTAACCATATGATCCATTAAGTGAAATCTTGCAAAATAAACTTTTTCCTTTATTTCCTTCTAATTCAGCCTTTTGTCTTTCGTTCATAAATTCTTTCGCAAATTCATTAAAACAAGTGTTTTTCGTAAATGTTAAAATTGATTGAATGTCATCAATGATAAAATGAAATCTGTCTATTAGATACCATAGATAATAAGAAGAAAATGGTTGATATTGGTTGTGTGTTGATGCTAACTGAGTTAATTTTCTCTGTTTCTGGTCAACTGGTAGATTGTTTGATTTCATGTAATTATACATAAAACTGCCAATTGTTTTTTCATCTGTGATAATATCTAAGTTTCTTATTATCGGTAAAAAGTTTATGTAATCATTAATGTATTTTTCATCAATGTGACCCTTTACTTCAGCCACGAATAAAGTATTTTTCTTTCTAATAATTCCCAGTGCTTTTGCTTTCTTTGTTGCTGTATCACAAATGATAACACCATTCAATCTTCCCGGCATATACATTTTATGGTCAGTATATTGAATGAAATCATGAGGATTAGATGAAAATGATGAAGGATATAATGAATTAAAGTCAACTCCAACGAAATGAGTCATAATGTTGGTGGTGTCCTCATTTAATACAGTTTTAGTTTCTGGATTATATGAAAGTTTATTAATGTGCGTGATTCCTTTAAGATTAACACGATGTTGAACATTTGATAGACCACCAGTAATTCCATTACGGAGAATGTGATAAGCTTCAACTGAATCTAAAGTCATTGGTAAATTATTTTTTAATGCATAATTTCTTAAATTGATTCTTAAACGTTGAACATCTTCATCTTTATTTGATTTTACGACATTGCAATAACAACACATTAACTGACAATTTTCTTTGGTATGTGGTTTTTCATTATCTATTCTATCCAATGTTGGTTTATTTGCATATGTAAACGCTTTACCACACATTTTGCATTTAGATGAAAGGATTAAATCGTGATAGTATTGAAAATCATCCATTGAAACATTATTTTTAGTATCCCTTTCTGCTTTTTCATCTTGTTTCTTATATGATTCAATTTTATATTTCCAATACTTTTTTGTTAATTCAAAACTTGATTCCACATTTTCTTCTTCTGGATATGTTTCGTTAGGATTGAAGTTCTTATATGCTAACGCGTAACGAATCATTGATGCATTCGATGATAAAGAAAGATTATGAAGCATGTCAATTTTATAAACAAATGTTTCTTCGATAATTTTATCAATTGGGTCAATCATAATTTCAACGTCTTTATTGCAATAATGAATAAAATATTCTAATCTATTCTCAAAATTTTTAGCATCATTGAGATATATTTGATAATCTGAATCGGATATTGTTTCTTGTGTTAATGCTGAATAAAATGAATCTTGAGTGAATGGTTCCTTTTTATATAATTCATCTTCGTAATTCTCCCATGTGATGAATTGATAAGGGAAAAAGGATTTAACACGTGATTTATTGTTTCCGAAATCTTGAGTGAATTGGTCTAATGTTCCACCCGCTATATAATTTCTGATGTCAATAAATCTTAATTCATATGGAACATTTGTTTTCTTTACAATGATTTGCTTAAATTGTGAAGATGAACCCAGCATTGATTTTATTTTCCATTTTGCAGTGTTTAAATCACGAAGAATTAAATTTAAATCAAACTTTCCCGAATTAAAACCTATGATATTCACTTTATTAAATTCTTCATCTAAAAGCTCTTTCATTGCTTCCTTTTGTTTCTCATTTAATGTATTCATTAATTCTTCATATTGTTCAATATTTGATTTAGCAACTAATGAACAGGTTGAAAATAAAAATTCAATCCAATCAGAGATGAACGAATCACTTGATGTTAAGCAAAAATTCCTCGTAAATGTTTTATCACGGTCTACGACCTCGCCGCTTTGCGGCTTTATTTTGACAGTTGATGATACCATAAATGGTTTTAAGTAAGCGTTCAAAGTTGCACATTCAGAAAGTTGAAGTTCTTCTTTAGTCTCTAATGTTTCGAAGTCAAAAGTAATATAATATCTTGTTGGTTTATAATATTCCTGCAAATTATGTGCTAATAGCCATTGATATATCTTCTGTTTCGTGATATGTGGTGCATATGGTTGTTGTGTGTTTTGCAATTGAACGTCTTGAATTAATCTTCCATTATTTTCTTTACATTTCTCACAATGTTTTAAAAATCTTCTTTGGTTTTTCCTTTCTGGATCATCACGGATAGAATATACTTCTTCTTTGCAAAAGGGGCAAACTTTATATCCTGTGAGTGCTTCAACGTCTGTAATTCTGTCAGCGTGAAGTTTTCCACATGGACTCTGTGTTAATAAAATATTTACTGTTTCAAATTCTGGATCTATCATTATTGATTCCACTAATGGAAAGTCTACCTTGTTAATGTCTACGTCTTCTGGTTGAGGGTCACAATAATAAAAATCAATATTAACGTTTAACATTCTTGCTAACCTCTCACTTTCTGATGAAATGTCAAATCCTTCATATGCATCTATGGCTTCATTTAAATAACTTCTACGAGTTTTAGGATTAACACCATCAGGAATGTTATAGAAGCGTTTAAATAACCTTCTACCTTCGGCTCTTATTTGATTATCATTCATTTTAGCTGTTCCATTTTTATTCATTTATGTAAGAATAAAAATTAAAAAATAAATAAAAATAAAGTTTATTTTTTTTAAAGTCCGAGACTCAGAGAGTCCAGGGCTAAAGTCCATAAAATGAATTAAGAACACATAAATTTTTATCATCTGCGACGTGACGAATACATTTTAATTTACTCAAGAATGCGTACCCTGATACATTAAATCTAATTCCTGTCTTATTTAATTTCACAACTTTGAAAAGGAATGTATGAATAGCTATAAAATGATGAGATGATGTTTTATGGGTTGCTTCCATTTTTTCTGAAATAAATGAATAAATATAATGTTTATAAGTTTTCATATCTTTTATGTTCTTAATAACGAATGGTATAGACCTTTCCACTTCATCTTCCTTCGGTGCTGTTCTTTCATATGAAACATTATTGGTATCTTCAATAATGAAACCACAATCGCATAAAATTTTATATGTACCAATTGTTTCTTTTGATATTTTATCTAACAAATCAAAAACTTTATCAACACCTGTACATTTATTTAAATAATAATTTGTGTAAATATCATGGTCTTCTTTCTTAATCGTATTTGTTGCATATGTTACATTTTTCAGTGCTTTTTTGAATTTTTCAGAATCAAGAGGAGGTGAAAGTAATATACATGGATAATCTCCATCGTCAATAAACTGAAGCTTATGTTTATGAATAAATTTTGTGCCTTCTTCTGAAAGTGTTTCGTCAATATCACCATCTAATAAATTTTTAGTAGATTCCAAAAAGTAATTTTTATATCTTTCCTCATGTGATTTTTGAACTTCTGATTCTGAAGCTGGGATATTCATTAAACCCTCTACTTCATTCTCAGCATTTCTCAATTCACTAATTCTTTCATCTATTTCATTTCTTAATTGTTCCAATTTCTCAATCTCATCGTTATAATATTCATCTTGTTTAATTTTTTCTTCAAAATATTCAGGAGGTGTTTCAAGGCTCGCTGAGCCCAGGTCCTCTGGACCATAAAGAGGAATATTCTCCTGTTTTTCAACTTTTTTGGGATATAAATATCTCATTATAGCCTTTTTAGTAATTGGTCCGTTATATTTAAATTCATTCAACAATCTGGAAAACTCTTTCACATTCTGCATATATGTTGGATAAGAACCGTCTCCAAAATTTTCTAAAATATTTTCTAATTCTGAATTAGTGAACTTTAAAGATTTCAATGAATTAGTTGTTATACTCATTTATTATAAAATAAAAAATAAAAAAAATAAATTTAACTTAGTTTTAATTTTACGTAAGAAGTCAATTTTTTATATACCGTCATTTGTAGGTATTATTTCTATCAGATAAAAATTATTTTTTTTATTTAAAAAATATAATTTATTTTATTTTTTAAAATATCATCGGTGATATTTTGGAATCACATGTTCAGGCTTCAAATAATTTTCAATAAGAAATTTAACAAAATCTTTATATAAAGTCTTTTTTTCATTTAGTCTGTGAAATTCGTCACATACATCATCTAAGTATATTTCTACTATGCACGGAAATTTAATCTTTCCGACCTTTATAATAGGTTTTATATTTTGCAAGAATATATTCTTTGACTCCGGTATATAATCGTTTTTTCTACAAAATTTTATATATTCTTCATATGTATCCCTTTCCTTTATTTTAAGTTCTACATGTAGTCCATACACGTTTGGGCAATAATATCAAAAATGAAAAATTTTCTATTTGTCATCTTTATATAAAGATAAAAAATATTTTTGATTTATGTCTTATAATGTGCGCATATGTATTTAAAAGGCATTCATTGAATTGCTTTTCAATCTCTTTCTTTTTTTCATCTTCGAATATTATATCATTTTCATGTTCGAAGCTTGTAAGTTTGTTATCTTCAAATATTATATTAGTTTCATATATCAAATTATGATATCGGTCATATTCTTTTAAGTGATAAATAAATACAAAATTTACGGTTCCTTTAATTTTAAATTCAAAATTAATTTTACAACAGCTTTGTGGATCAATTAGTAAATCAATCAAATAATGTTCAAAATCAGATATTATTCTTTTTCCATACATTTTATATTAAATAAAAAAATCTAACTTTATTTTTTCGGAGTTTTGTGACGAAGTGCGAATCTTCACTTCGTCAAAAATATATTCTTTTTATTAATGGTAATATAGGAATTGTAGGAATAAAAACTTTTTATAAATTATTCATAAATTTTTAAAATCTGCTATTCGGAAGTATGTTCAAAAATCATTCAATTATGTGAGAATTCTTACGATTACAAAAAAAGTCACACAACCCGCATCATATACTACTAATTATCCTTTCATTATTTTAAACTTAAATTAGTTTTTATGATTGACTAAAGCAATCATATTTATTCATCATTAAATAAACAAAAAATAATATTTGAGAGTTATTTCAAAAAAAAAACACATTGAATTTATTAATTTGTCTCAATTTCAGTATTATAAATTTTTATAATTTCAATGTGCTGAAATACACTTTTTAATATTTCAATATTTATGATATTTCAATGTATTAAGTGGTCTCAAATTGAGCTTCTCAAATATAAGTTGGCCTATTCAAATAATAAAATTAAATAATATTTAAAATAATAAATAAAAGTGATTGAGGTCATAGCAAAACGGCTGTTTGGAGGCAGTTAGGAGCTAGCGGTTGAAGCGATAACATTCACAGCCAACATCTACGGTCAAGCGGCAGCATTCAAGGGCAACATCTACAATCAAGCGGCAGCATTCAAGGGCAACATCTACGATCAAGCAGCAGCAAGGAGCTACGGCAGGTCAAGCGGCATCATTCAAGGCCAACATCTACAATCAAGCAGCATCAAGGGGCTACAGTAGGTCAAGCTGCAGCATGGAGCTACAGCATCAAGGAGCTACGGCAAGTTAAAGATCAGTCAGATCTGGAAATATCTTTTTCAGGATTTCATTTGTCATGAAAAGCTTCAATAGGATTCTACACTTTATTAGATCTTCACGTGCGTTTTGATTAAACCTATTACGCAGGTTCCGCACAATTGAAATCATTCTTTCCACATCAGCTTCGGTTGCAGCAATAGACATGAATTTTAAGGCAATCTCTTTCAATGCCTTGAAATTTGCATCACATGCTACCCAAAACCTTTGATCCAAGCAGGTGAGGTCGGTGTTGTTCCTGATTTCACTCTCATTCATATGTATAAAGTTGGAAAGAGCTTTCTTGTACTCATTAGCTATGTTCTTGGCCGAACTTCTCTTGTAGAACCTCGCTTCTGCTTCTGCACGTCTCGAAAGCATCTCGATCATAAAATCGTTGAAGCTGTACTCTTCCACTTCTTGCATTGACAGAGACGCCCATTCACCAAGGTTCCTGCCTAGTCTCCTCCTTGGTTCATTCTCTTCAACTTCTTCATCCTGAGCAATGTCTTCTGCATCTACTTGGCCATCACCTTCAATTGCTTCGTTCTCAATCTCGGGCTCTTCTATATCTAGATTTCTGTCCAATTGATCCTCTGCCACTTCATCCAAATGATCAGGGGTGTAGCTCCTTGGAGGGATTTCAAGTTCAGCATTGATAGGTATTGGTTCTTGGAAGAAGAGTGAAACGTCTGGCTTGTACTCAGTATGCATGTTCAATTCTGCGCGGATGACTGACCGGCCCCATGGAGTTAGACCAAAGGCAAATTTCATCAAAGCGTAGTTGCCCTGTTTGTCAAAAACTTCATTCATGTTGGCGATTAATGCATCTGCAATGCGCTTTGACGAACTTGATAATTCAGGACGATTTGCAATTCCGGTCAACTGCTCAATCGTCGATTGAAACATTGGATAGATGTAGCAGAAGCAGCCAACGTCACTCTCTGCATAATTCAAGAGTTTCTTGATTGGTAAAAGAATCTCTTCGAAATTTAACAACCATTGTGGAAGTCCATCCTTGAAATCAATTCCCATATCCCTTAAGATCTGAACAGATTCCGGTGGATCATCCATATTGAACAATTCATAAATTTTAGGGTGTTTTTCTTTTATCCACTTCAGAAGATCCCAGAAAAACATCCAGCGATGATCCGGAACATGAATAACCCTCATATTCAATGCCCTTCTCGTGTCCGGCTTCGATAACTCCTTGCTTATCGCTTTGCAATAATTAATTTGCATTGCGAAAGCTGCACAATTGTCTGCCGTATGCTTCACCACTAAGTTGAGGAGATGCGCAACACATCGGATATAAACGGTTTGAAGACCCGGATATAGTGCTCCGCATCTCCTCCAGTGGCACAGCCCTTTAACTTGGGCGGGGCATCCATCGGCAACAATTGCAGAAAGGAAATCCTTTGGGAAGGTAAAACATTCAAAGAAATTATTGTAATCCCTGGCATTCCAACCATCAGCGATCATAGTATCAATGAAGATATGGTTCTTCATTTTTGCTGGATTGCTAGCCATCACAAAAAAGCCATGCCGGCTTCCGTGTGATGCCGCATCAATTGTTATCGAATAGTAGCCCATCTTGTCAAGCTCAACGTGTATTTTTGGAGCTACCAAGTCGGCTAATGTAATGATTCCATCCCTTATCTCGTCTCTTCTATATGGGATCTTGAGTTGAAAATTGATTACTCCCTTGAAGGTGGAGTAGACATGTCGGGCGAAATCTTCTAGTACACCTGAAGCGGCCATATTGATTGACATGTTGGTATCCACAACAAATTTTACAACATAAAGTAATTTTCTATCTTGTTTTATTAAATCTCTTCTCGTATATGGATTATTTTCACATTGTATTTGATATATATGCTGATGATCTTCATCAAATTCTGATAGTTTTCGATGATAAATGCAGCGCATATATGTTTTTGTTAGTAAATTGTAATGTATCGCTAAACAATAACAATAAAGTCTTTTTCGTTCTTTCGATTTTTCGCTTGTATCTGGAAGATAAGCAATATTGAAACATACTCGACATTTATTATTAGTTGAGAATTTAGTATCCTCGAATTTTGGTAAGGGAGGTACTTTTCGAGGGATATTTTTGGGAGGAAGTTTGCAATCAATCCATCCCTCAAATTTGGATTCATATTCATCTTGTGTTTCAGTCATTAATTCTTAAAAATAAAAAGGGTAAAAACTAAATAAAATGGGTAAAATTCAATAGTGTCTGTGCTATCGTTCAATTTGAAGGTGTCTTTTGAAACCGCAAGACACATTGAATTTTTGAATAGTGTATTATGGTTTGACAGACACCAATGAAAAAAATAAAATGATATTTATTTTAAATATATAAGATCCTTATATAAAATATAAATATTTTATCGTTTTATTTTCTTGTTTTAGAAATGTTTTTTATTGAAAAATCAATAAAACTAACTCCAAAATAAAATTTTTGATTTAAAGACACTATGATGACACCAGGCAAATCTTCCAAGACACCTATCGTCGGGAATCTAACAACCCTAATCTCTAATATTTGAGTCCAAAATTTCAAATTTTAATTTTTTGAAAAAAGAGGCCACCCGTATGTACGTTTATTTGAGAGGAGGAGGATTATATTTTTGAAAGGGTGAAACATTATGAATATGTTAATTATATAATAATATGTATTATTATAAAAAAGAAAAATAAAGCACGTTAAGGGTGGCTTCCGACCAAATTGTCACTTTTTAGCCCAAGTGAGAAAATTTCGTAATTTATAACCAAGTTTTTTAAAATATATATTTAATAAAGATTCTATTTTTCTTATTAAATTTCAAAAATGAGGGGGTTCGGAATCGTCCACAAATTGCCGAAAGGGTTTTTGCCAGTTTTGAATCCGCTTATTTTTATCGACCAAAATTATAATAAATATAATTTTCGATAAGTATTCTACCCAAATGTGTTGTAAACAGAAATTCATCAAAAGTGACACCTCAGAAAAGCTAAAATATTGAATTTTTGGAACTATTCCTGGTCTTCTTTGGTATGTTTATTATAAACCAAAGATTAATTCTATCTATTTCTGGGGATCATGGTTCTTGACAATCTTTGGTGTATTCCTTGCTGTTGCTGTTATTGCTATGCAAATTAGAGGAATGGTCGTATATTGATTTATTTTACGCAATCATCTCTATCAAATTTCTTTTGCTTCTAATAATGTTTATTTTATTAAAACTTTCTTATAGCATCTCATGTAATGGATCATTAAACCTAGACCTACACACTTACCATATATGAAATGAAGTTCTCTATTCTATGCTTCTTTACTAAATATCCCATTGACATAGATAATGAGGGATATTTTTTATATATATTTAAGGGTGCCCTATAACGATAATGTAAACATCACAAAATTAACCTTATTAGAACTCGAATGAATGGATTATCCAGATTCTAGTTCTCAATATAATAGCCTTAAAAGTGCTTTTCTGAGGGTGGTCTATCGTCTATAGGGCACCCTTAAGTGTCATCAATTACCTTTTCCGGTAAAGATGAAATTCAAAGGCTCTGCTTTACATTCAACAAAATTTCATGACGTTTTTAATGGATTTTCCTGATTTGATTCACCGGAAAAGATACTATCTTCTCCATGATGTGCTTCAAATACCGGAATATCCTCTCAATTCAAGTTTTCTTTTGTATAATCATCAATATAAAGCTATGAAACATAAATTTTTTGAACTCAATTCACAAAAAAATAGAAAGTTACAAGAATCATAAAACATATTAACTATATTTTAAGTTTTAGTTCGATATATTTAATCAAATACATAAAGTATAAGTAATTAAGATATACGTACATAAAAATTTTAAAACATTAATTCAATTTGGATGGTTTTCTTCCATAAATAACATGGTGCTGATTCTTGAATGTTGTATGTATTTCTTTCATCTCAGGACTTGTTTCATTCAATGATTCTATTGCCCATGTTACTTGATCATAACCCGCATCAATTAAAACTTGAGGATCGACCCAATCTGCATCATATATTTCAGCTGGATCGTATGTAATGTTAGTCGTGATTGGTCGCACTCTGATAATACTATATATAGACAATATCACTGGCCATTTTACTTAGTTAAGTGATTAACTAAATATAGTTAGTACACCAGTCTCGGGTATGGTGGCACTGCGTTCCACTTTACCCAATTCTTGTGAATTTGACACTTTACAAAACCGTTAACGTATATTTTACAACATGAACGCAAAACCAACTTAACCTTAAATATTTACAAAGCCGCCAACAATTTCACCTCACTATCGTTCTCACTAACAACTTCACTAATGTTCTCATAAATTTTCCTCAATATCTTCATCATCAGTGTTAACCCTATTGTAGTCATACTTGAAGCCATAAACTTTCTCAAGTTTTGAAATGCATAGTCTTGTTAACTTACCTTCATCATCATAAGTTTTTATAAAACTACCATGACAATCTTTATACACAGTCAATGAAAAGTCAACTGGTCTAGGATGAAGTGTAAAGAACATGTTATACTCAGGAAGGAAGAATAAATGTTTAAATGTATGTTTGTTATATGTTTTGATTTGTATGAGTTGCTTTTGTTCTGTCATTACATCCAAATAAAATTTTTCAGTAAAAATAAAACTAACGTTAAAAATTTCTCATAACATAAACGTTCTCATTGCTTTATAACTCTCTTCCTTTCTCCAACTCTTCTAACTTCTTCTTAAGTTCAGCAATGTTGTCCTCATGAAGTTTAATCTTTCTCAAAATTCCTTCTTTATCTAATGGTTGCTTTATCTTTCTAAACTGAACTCTACCATCCTTCATAGTATGAATGTAAAAACCTTCTGGAATAGTTCCTGATTTAATGTATTCTACCAAAAACTTTTGTTTCATTGCTTCAGTGACTTTAGTCGTCATTTCAATCAAAGGTGAAGCTAGCACAGCGATAATGGATTTCATGACTTTTTAGTATTTCATGCAATCTTAACAGATAGCCTTACAAGTACTTCCAGTGTCCCTAGCTGTCCCTCCTTTTTATATAACTCCATAACATTTATAATCTCGCGAAACTTAACAGGTAGCATAACAGATTAAAATCAGATGAAGTTTTGAACCAAAATTTCTAAGCAACGTTGTCAAGGATTTTGAGGAACTAGGGACAGAGTGTGGCAAAGTCCAAGATTTAATTTATCTTCATCTGTTTCATCAGCTATCTCATCTAATATGCCAATATTTTATTCATAACTCGTGGCAAACTCACTAACTTTCGTTATGTTCATCTGCATGCTTCATCTGATAGAAAGTATGACTTTCATTAACTCTGTGAGATAATGAAAACTACTAGGGACAGAGACCATGACAAAGTTTATGACTTTCATTATTTCCAGAACTTAATGAAAACTACTAGGGACAGAGACCATGGCAAAGTTCATGATTTAATTTATTCTCTCACTAACAACAAACACAAACTCCAACACTAACATCAAGTACTAACTTCAGCACAAATGACAAACGCTAACAACAAACACAAACTCCAACACTAACGACAAAAATAAATGTCCTCACTTCTTAACAAAGTAATATGTGCTTCTTACACCACCATAGCTCAAACGTTTCTTTTCAAACATCGATTGAAACTTATTTTGAGCCATTGGCTTTAGTCTCTTTTTCTTCAAATACGCCAAGAAATCTTCTTCACATCTTTTCACTTCATAGCCTTCTTTAAACTCCTCCTTGTTAAGTTCTATGAAATCCTTTATATCATTCTTTGTTGCAATGGCTTCTTCACGAACGACATCGTGAACTATTTCATCATTGCATTCATGTATGACCTCCTCACTGTTCTCATGAACTATTTCAACACTGTTCTCATGAACGACCTCCTTACTGTCTTTCATAAGCGTTTCAAAGTCTCCTTTACTCATTACTTCAATCTCATGCTGTTCACAGTAGTACTTAAACTCACTGTATATGTCTTTGTTGTATGTTATATTGCTTCCCATGTACTCCATGAATTTTTCAAGCACTTCCTCATAATTCACTGTTTCTTTCTTTCCACGACCTTCTAATATCATACTTGCTTCGTAAATATAACTTCTTGCAGAACCGTCTCGCTTTCTACTTCTCTTCACAAATTCTCTCATCTTGCCGCCAAATACATTTGAACTACATGCAAAGAATTCATTCTCCTTCGCAAATTCTTTATATCTTCTGTAGCACTCTGTACAATTCCATCCGGATACAAACTTTTCATAGAACTCCTCGTAAAACATTTGGTAAGGTGTTTTGTTCATTTCGATGAGTTCTTGTTTAGCCCTGGTGAATGGTATCTTCCTTACATCAAATTCACTTAAATCTTTCTTCATGAAGTACGTCAGTAAGTTTGAATAAAACTCTTCATTAAAGCTTTCAATGAGATTTGAGAAATATTCGTAATTTCCTTTGTATCTGCTGCTTACGTCAATGACAACAAATCTTCTGTCGTCTTTGTCAATCTTTACTGAGTTGAAGTTGTTAGATATCATGATGATATTACAAACATTCTCTATCTTTCTTACTGGCTGACACTTCTGATTTAAGTCCAACTGAGTCTCTGTTACTATTGACTTTAGTGCGTCGTGGTTCATGACCTTAGACGTATCGCATGAGCTTAGTGCATTGCATACGATGAGCTTCATGTTCTCAATAGCAGCATTGAATCTACCAACCACATTCTCTATTGCCGTTATATTATTGTTGGCGTACTTGCTAATGAGCTCGCATAGAACATTACTAAGTACATTCTTACCAGTTCCTTGCTTTCCTATTAACAAAAGTACTGTTCCAGTCTTTCCACAAGGATTTTGAACGATGTAGGCGAACCAGTTCAAAACATACCCATAAAGCTCTTCATCCTCATTACATATGACATCGTGAACATGTTTCAAATATCCTTCAATAACGTTCTCATCTACTTCATTCAGTACCTCATACTCATATCCTCTGAAATAGCTGTAAATGTCATCTCTTTCGTCAAAGAATCTCATGCCTGACTTCATAAGATAGTTCTTGTTCTGACCCGCTTCATAAATCATCAGTGCGTTCACATCCTTCTCCTCAATACGTCCTACATAAATACTCTTCATGAGCTTATTGAATTCCTTGCTATCTACTGACACAAGTGTTGTTGTGTCTCGTATTCCATCATAATCTTTCACTAGATATGTCATACGTGCTCCGTCAATAACAACAACACATCTTCTTAAGTCATTTATAACACTAGCTATGTCAATACCGTCCTCACTCATGTACTTATTTCTCCTCAAGTCCTTTAGTGTGAAAGTGTCTCTAAGTTCTATTTCAAGCAATTCATTTACACATCCTTTGCAATACTTCTCTATAAAATATTTCTGTCGTTCTTTACTAAGTTTCTTAACAGCTCTGAAGAACCATGTGTTTTGACTCAAACATCCTTCACAACTTCTCTCATTCATTCCTAGTTCTTTCATGTCATTATCTTCAACCTCTATGGTCTCATTGACTAAGGTCAAAGGGTTCTTAGTCATTGCTGGTCTTATCTGAAACAATGTTTGTGCAACAGGTTTAACTAGTTCAGCAACGTCCTTCCTTAATATGAATAGCTGTTTCCACTCATCTTTGCTAACAGTTCTTTCATAACCACTGACAGTAATGATTTCATTTGCTGACCTTAGACGCTTATGTTCTATCATTTGTATTGCTTTTGTGTAAGGCTTTCGTGAGCATAGGTTGTATATGTCATTCCTGCAATGTTCATTCATGCCAATAGTACTAAATCCTTTCTTTGCTGTTGAGTGCATAATATCCATTAGTTCCTGTGTTCGTATTGCTGTCTCATAAAATACAACAAGACCTTTGTCATCTATGACGTACTTACCGAAAACATTGCTTATATTCTTTAACCATGAAATAACATCCTCATTCATGCTGTCAAACATGAAGTAAGGTCTTACATACTCTTCACTTATAAGATACTCCACAAAGTACTTGTTAAGCTCTATGTCCTCGTGAGCGATTTCATTAGGTTTGATATTAGTTCCTTTTGTCATTGCTGTCATGTACTTCACTCTCATAGTTCCTTTCAATAGCGTAAAAGTACTTCATTGTTTCATAACTGCTCTAAATTCTGTTCAAAATTCGTACAACATAACTTTTAACATTAGTGAAAGAGCATGAGCGAAACAACAACATCTAACATTACAGAAGGAGCTAGTGAAAATATTGACGAGCTCAGTGAGGAAGAAGATATTGAGGACGTCAATGAGAACGTTAGTGGGGAACAAACTCAATGGGAAACATTGAGAAATCATGAAGATTATGAGATTTGTACGACATATCCTTTTACTATTCGTCGAAAGAAAAACAAACATATTAAGAGTGAATGCTTAAATAATCATGGTTATATTGTGCTTAGTTTAAACAACAAAATGTACTTAAAGCATAGAATTATTGCAGAACAGTGGATTGAAAATCCAAACAATTTGAAAGAAATAGACCATATAAATCATGATAGAACGGACAACAGAATCTCAAACCTTCGTTGGTGTTCTAAATCTGAAAACAATAGAAATAAAAGCAAGTATGGCGATATAGTTTATGAGTTCGTTGATGAAATATCTGACGAAGCTGTTGAAATAACAGCTTATGGTAAGCATTCGTTTGAGTTCTACTACTATGTTGAGAATGAGGACGCATTCTATTATTATACAGGTCCTAACTATCGAAAACTTCATATAAACTTTACAAAAACAGGTGCTGCTTATGTTTGTATGATAGATACAGAAAACAAGAGAGTAATCTTATGCATAAACAAATTCAAACGCTTGTACGGCTTCATGTAGGACAAACATTATTTTTCAACACTAACGCCAACACGTAGGACAAACATTCATGACTAACATTACTGTATAACATAAATGTTTTGTCATGATCATTCATCGTTTATGCTTTATCAATACTTCATCGTAATGAACGTTTATGCTTTGTCATGATCATTCATCGTTTATGCTTTATCAATACTTCATCGTAATGAACGTTTATGCTTTGTCATGATCATTCATCGTTTATGCTTTATCAATACTTCATCGTAATGAACGTAAATGACCCAAAAATAATGTTTAGGTGAAGAGGTGAGATCTCACCTCTTTTCTCACCTCATTTCTACCCTCTTGAATTTTCATACGGAATCTCTTCCCTCGGTTTTCCGAGGGAAGCAATCATATGAGGAAATTCTTCTAAAAGTTCTTTTGTCTGTTGGTTTTCAAACCAATGATATGCTTGCTTTGTAGAACGAAGAGTATTATAAGGCATTTTGTGAAGAATATAGCAATCGCCGGAATTCAGACGGTTGCTTTTTATACAAAATTCACGCAGGAAAATTCTTGAGTTTTGGTTGAAAGAATACGGTCAAGCCAAAAGTGGCTCGACCTCAAAACAAACATTTTATGAGCTTACTAAGGCATTTATGAATGAATTCAAATGTATTTGCATACATCCTGACCTCGTTCATTTTGTTGCTGAATTCAGCAAAAATAATGTTTAGGGTAGATGGTTTTAGGTGCTACTATGTTACCATGTGCTACCAGGTTAATTAACTTCTCTGAAAAAATGAGACAACATGACATTTAGACAACACAGCAGGGGAAGGCATTTATGAATTATTTTTGAAGAACTGAAGGGGTCACCAGGTCACCAGGTCACCAGGTAATTTAACTTCTCTGAAAAAATGAGACAACATGACATTTAGACAACAACACAGGAGGAAGGCAGTTATGAATTATTTTTGAAGAACTGAAGGGGTCACCAGGTCACCAGGTCACCAGGTAATTTAACTTCTCTGAAAAAATGAGACAACATGACATTTAGACAACAACACAGGAGGAAGGCAGTTATGAATTATTTTTGAATAACTGAAGGGGTCACCAGGTCACCAGGTCACCAGGTAATTTAACTTCTCTGAAAAAATGAGACAACATGACATTTAGACAACAACACAGGAGGAAGGCAGTTATGAATTATTTTTGAAGAACTGAAGGTGCTACCATGTTACCATGTGCTACCAGGTTAATTAACTTCTCTGAAAAAATGAGACAACATGACATTTAGACAACACAGCAGGGGAAGGTATTTATGAATTATTTTTGAAGAACTGAAGGTGCTACCATGTTACCATGTGCTACCAGGTTAATTAACTTCTCTGAAAAAATGAGACAACATGACATTTTGACAACAACACAGGAGGAAGGTATTTATGAATTATTTTTGAAGAACTGAAGGTGCTACCATGTTACCATGTGCTACCAGGTTAATTAACTTCTCTGAAAAAATGAGACAACATGACATTTTGACAACAACACAGGAGGAAGGTATTTATGAATTATTTTTGAAGAACTGAAGGTGCTACCATGTTACCATGTGCTACCAGGTTAATTAACTTCTCTGAAAAAATGAGACAACATGACATTTTGACAACAACACAGGAGGAAGGCAGTTATGAATTATTTTTGAAGAACTGAAGGTGTCACTACGTCACCATGTGCTACCAGGTTAATTAACTTCTCTGAAAAAATGAGACAACATGACATTTTGACAACAACACAGGAGGAAGGTATTTATGAATTATTTTTGAAGAACTGAAGGTGTCACTACGTCACCATGTGCTACCAGGTTAATTAACTTCTCTGAAAAAATGAGACAACATGACATTTAGACAACAACACAGGAAATAAATGTTTACGTAAATGATTTGTCATGATCATTCATCGTTTATGCTTTGTCATGATCATTCATCGTTTATGCTTTGTCATGATTTCTTCATCGTAATGAGCGTAAATGATCCAAAAATAATGTTTATGTTAGAATGTTAGATCTCACCTCTTTTCTCACCTCTTTTCTCACCTCATTGAATTTTCATGATTTCTTCATCGTATATGCTTTGTCAAACATGAACGTAAATGTTTTGTCAAACATGAACGTATATGCTTTGTCAAACATGAACGTATATGTTTTGTCATGATTTCTTCATCGTAAATGTTTTGTCATGATCATTCATCGTTTATGTTTTGTCAAGACTTCTTCATCGTAATGAGTGTAAATGTTTTGTCATGATTTCTTCATCGTATATGCTTTGTCAAACATGAACGTAAATGTTTTGTCAAGACTTCTTCATCGTAATGAGTGTAAATGATCCAAAAATATATTTTAGGTGAAGAGGTGAGATCTCACCTCATGAATTTTCATGATTTCTTCGTTTATGCTTTGTCAAACATGAACGTAT